AAAAGAAAAAGACATACAAATCCGGTTATTAATTACTGCATACATAGCAGCTAGCAACCTAATTAAAGAAATCTTTTACAAGGATTATATTTATATATATATTTTTTTTAAATTAGTTTCCACCATCCTTTCCAATAAGATCTTTCAACAAATTTCCAGTAAGACGGAAGCATCTGTTAGCTTCAAGTTTTCACGTATTAATTTTGATGATAACAAATCAACATAATTATTAATCAAAAAACCTTTATTTGTGATAATCTTATTTTTGCACAAATTTATTTAAGAAAAAAGAAGCTGATAAAGATCCAAACAAATATGAGAAAGAGAATATTTTGTGAAGAATTTATCAATGAAGATTATTTTTAGAAATTTAATCTCCAAGCGTCATAGAAGGAATAATATTTGAAAGTGAAATTTCAAATATTGAATGGCTTATAACAATATCTAAAAAAGACTCTACGAAAATTATGGAAGGAAAGTTTTTAAATATCTTGAAAGGAAAATTGCTAAAATCCTGGAGAAGATCTATTATTTTGTGCAAGGAAGATACTATTTGGAAAAGATACGACAAGGCGAAGGAAGCATATATTCTCTATGGAAAGAAAATATATTATGAATATAGTACAATCCATATTATGAAAAGAGATTATTTTTCAAGACCCACTAAAGGAATATTAGAAAATTATGGAAGAATGCTTCCTAAAGTTTTGGACAAGATCTACTAAAGAAAGGGCAAGAATCCAAAAGGAGTTGTTTAATAAAGAGAATACATTTTTTATAGGCAAAAGGATTATACGTGGAATCGATTTCATAGACAAGAGTGGATTGCTCTAGTGGTGAGCACCTTTCACTTCCAACCGAAGGGTTGTGAGTTCGAGTCACCTCAAGAGCAAGATGGGGAGTTCTTCGAGGGAGGGATGCTGAAAGTATCGGAAACAGTCTCTCTGCCCCAGGGTAGGGGTAAGGTCTGCGTACACACTATGCTCCCCAGACCCCACTAGTGGGATTATACTGAATTGTTGTCATTGATTACGAGTTCCATTATGTGACTCAAGGAGAGACTATTTTCTTATGGAAAATAATTAATGCTAAATATTGTCAAGAAGGATATATGAACCTAGAATTCCCATTCAACAAGAGGAGGCCATCAGCACAGAGGTACGACATTCAAAAAGGAAAGTTCACCAACAAAAAAAGACACCAGAAATATGCAACAATAAGGAAAGACAATCAAAATTATTCAAGGATCTTTGACTGCATCCCTTTGTACTTTTAGATGGAAAGTTATCCAATGGTCAAGAAATCAAGCAAAAATATTATTCCAAGATTCAAGGAAGAAGTCAGAAAACGGCTACAAGAAAGATTGAGGAAGAATCTTCGCACACAACTTTCCTACTCTTTCTACACCATAACCAAGCACTGTATTTTTAAGTTTACAAGTGTCATAAAAGATACAACAACAACAACAACAACAACAACAACAACAACAACAACAACCCAGTATAATCCCACTTAGTGGGGTCTGGGGAGGGTAGTGTGTACGCAGACTTTACCCCTACCCTAGGGTAGAGAGACTGTTTCCAAATAGACCCCTACCCTAAGTGTCATAAAAGATAGAGAAAGTGAAAAATACCGAGAGGTTGTATCATTGTTCGTTTTTTTGGTGAGTGAGTGAAAACCAAAGTGTCGTTGTTGGTAAGCGAGTGAAAACCAACCCTTTGTCGTTTGTTGGTGAGCGAGTGAAAACCAACCCTTGTTAATGTTGGTGGTGAACGTTAAAAACCACAAAAGCTGTACTCAACCCAATTTACAAAGAGCTCTAAAAGACAACACTCTTGCAACCCAAGAGGACTGGACTAAAATACCACATTGGTTCCGAACCAATATAAAACGGATAAATTATCGACCCAACCCATATTTAATACGGATAAAAAATGGCTTAATCGGCGAATAATATGGATAGTCATATTATCCATGATTTTTTGAATATGATCACTTTTGGGAGAATTTTGAGGAACCCCCAATTTGAAATTTTACAAATGTAAAAGTGATACACATTAGTTATCCATTTTCTAAATGGATAATATGGTTCTTATCCATATTTGATCCGTTTTTTAAAAAGTTCATTATACCACCCATTTTTTAATGGATATATGGTGATTAACTGTTTCCTTTTAATTATTTTGCTACCACTATATTAGACTAATAATAACATCCTTATTTTGAGCATATAAGTAGGAACAAGTGTGAAGTAATTATTCCATGTGATGATTCATACAAATATATATAGAATATGAGATTACTTACACGATCTTAGGCCGATATCCCAAAAAATCTTTTCCCTCTAATTATACTGCCTTATGATTCACTAGAACTTACTATCTACGTAATTATTTAATAGAAAGAGCTAGTGATCATTATAATTTAAGCAATGCATGATCCTTTTCTGTACTCTTGGTGGCTTAACTGCCATGAACAACTTACAATACAGTGTCAGTTTGTCATATATTTGACCGCAATTTATTTATATTTGGGGAAAATAGCAATATTTGAGGTATTGCTTTATTCTGCTTCTTGTGTTATTCAACTTAGCATATTTGACCTTCAACTAGACCAATCCTATAAATGACAGCCCGCTGCACGAAGTATTTCGCAGTCCGGGGAAGGGCTTTATCTCAAAGGGATATGAATTGTAACGTAGACAGCTTACTCTAATACAAGTATTAATGATTGTTTTCACGGCTTGAACTCATGGCCAATGCAAAAAGACAACTTCACTATTGCTCAAAGACTAGACCAATTATACCCCGAGAATATAATGCCTACTACACCATCTTCTTTGGTTAAATAAGTTTAATCAAAGAAAATATCATGTAGTTTACCTGAGCTAATATTAAAGGACTTGCTTAATTTGTACAAGTTGCATATCATTGTCATGTGAATTTCTTGAAAATTTACCAATAACTAAAATTTTCAAGAGATATCCTTTTTTTTTTTTTAATTGCCTTGTTTTCTAATATACAGGGTAGTTTAATTTTAGAAAAAAAAATCCTCTATCCTCCATCTATCATGACTAGCTATGTTGCAGACTTCAACTCTGTCAAATATAATATGCATTTTGCCAATATGTGTTACTGTTTCTTGGAAATATTCTAATTCGATCGCTTTCTTTCTGTTTAGTGAATTATCACTACCTTCTGAAAATTATACATTGCTCTATTAATTGTATTCTCTTCTCTATTTGCATTATATAATATGCATTTTGCCACATCATTTGACTTTCTTTGTGTTATATTATATTACCACTAGCTTTTAATAGTCCACCAGTAGAAGATATAGTGTACATCTAGTACTTTCTATTTTCATTTTTATTTTATATAATAATATTGGTCTAAGACGAGCTTATATAGAGCAACGTGATTCATATAGATGACTCCAACTTGCTTGGGATTGTGTCACCGTTATAGTTGTTGTTGTATCTTCTCATCATTTCTCAGAAATATAATTCAGAGATTATAGGGAGGAATAATGACATATCAGAGATAGTAAGCATGTTAAGTAAGCTCAAATAATGAAACAAGTTTATCTGTAATAAACATAGTTGGAATGCCAGGCCAAGGAAAGACAACACTTGCACAATTTTTTCAATAAAAATGAAAAAGTGACGAGGCATTTATTATGGCTCTGTGTATCTGATGATCTCATGGTGGAAAGACTTGTAAATGAGATGTTCCAATCTGTTACACAGACCAAGGAGTGCCTTAACTTCTGAGCTGAGCGATTCAAGTCATAGCGACAAAGTGTATCTAGCCTCGCATGGTGTAAACTTGTTTCTCAGGTAATAGGGAGGCTATAGTAAAGAAATTGCATGCAAGGATACCTTAAGGGGCAGAGATATTTGCTCGTGCTCGATGATGTTTGGAATGAGAATCAAGACAAATGGGACCAATTTACGCGAACTGGAGATAGGATAGAAGATGCACACTTGACAACTGTCCAGAGTCGCGCACATACCTATTGTTCAGATTAACTACCAGAGTGTAATTCCACGCTGAAGTACTGCACAAATCTGTGAGTAACTAACTTTCCTCTATATCATCTTCTTCTTAGTCAATGTTGTAATTGCTTTTGAAGTACTACTGCCATACAACTTTTATTACATGACTTAATTTTTTTTCTTTCTGGAAATTGCTTCAGTTCTGGAAAAGATGCATACATGTGCCCCCTACACTTTTAATCCTTATACTGTTCCCTTGAGGATCAAATTTGTGTATTAAGCGAACATATCTATTCTCTGTATCGATCCAATTTTATCAAGTGATCTAATCTATTGGGAGTTCTTTTCTGCAATCTACTGAACCATGACAGCAGGCATAGATGCTCACAAGATCTTGTTGTACTATAATGAGTTCATGTTTTTGAAAAAGAAAAGCTCTTGCTAAAGTCCTTTCTCATTTGAGTGTAATTCATCTTAGCACAGCAAATACTGATGCTTGTGGATGTTTTGCAGGATTTATGATTCTCAGGAAGTCATTAGATGAGGCTACAGTTGAAGAGTAGTATTCGTACAAGCCAAATTGCAGGTATTGACCCAAAAAATGGCAGGACTCCAAACATGTTCATCATATATTGAAATGACTTCTTGTTTTATCGATGCATTGAATGTAATTTGATTTTGGCAATGATAATGATATGAGTTAAGCTTAAAGATATGAATGAGGATTCATATTGCCGACCCAAACTTCTTTGGGACTAGGGCGTAGTTGTTAGTCAATGTAATTTGATTCGCTCGCTTATTTCCTTCTTGCCTTCCACAAATTGTCACTTGGCTAGTCCTAGTTCACGTTAACATTTGGTGGTTGCGACATGTCGTTAGCCTTTAGCCAATGGAAACGAGAACAAAGAGTTTGTTGAGTTTAATATCTTTCTGAGAAATGAATTGCAAAGTGAACTTTGTTGTTTACTATTGAATGAACTCAAAATAGGCAACAAAAGTCTGCTACTATAATAACATATACTAACATTCAGTTATTTCCATGCAAGATGATTCCTAAATTGCCAATAAACAATCAAGAGAATAGCCAGAAGATACACAAGTTTTTCTTTTCCAGACTTAGTTTACTATCAAAACATAAACATCAAGAACAAAAGTAAATGCCTATGAATATCCAAGTATATGAATATACATTCTCGGTTCTCTTCTCATAAGCAAGGGCAGGAACAGGTGAATGGTGGTTCATCAGCCAAGATGGACACTTACAAAACAGCCTTCCACCACCACTGACTCCTAGCCTTCTCGACCACCACGGAGACGATAAATGATGCGTCCCTTAGTGGAATCATACCGACTTACTTCAATTTTGACTCTGTCTCCTGGTAGCAATCGTATGAAATTCTTTCGTATCTTCCCAGAAATGTATCCCAGAACCACATCTGCATTATCCAACTTGACCCTAAACATGCCATTAGGGAGAGACTCGGTAATGGAACCTTCATGAGTCCATTTCTGTTCCTGTGAGAGACACTGAATGCTGGTATTACTTCTGGAATTGGTGAATGAATGATTCTTTTTATTTGACTGTTGCCTTGTTTTAACCAAAAGACCCTTGGCTTGTTTCATTAACTTTGCCTGCTTGCTGACAAACACAGGGCGTGGCAGTGCTAATGAGTTAGAGGTTTTACAGGACGTCGGAGTTGGAGAACAAGCTGTCATTGCTGTCGTGGCAGGAGCAGGATTCCACCATGAGAGAGATGCCATAGTAGCGAGATCTAGTCTATGGTGCACGATCACGAACCCCGAAACACAAGCGATCTGAAAACAGCCAAAAGACAACACAGCTACACTAAGATAAGATTTTAAAAAAATATGTACAAAACAAAAAATTAAGACAAACAATGAACTTTGTTTAGTCTTTTACAGTGATAAACAAACTTAAACCAACACTACTGAGGCATTTTCCCTGAGAAACAAAGTTAAAATAAGACGACAGTATGAATGTAAATCACAAATTAGACATACACTGAACTTCGTTAGTCTTTTGGAGTAAACTGGAAACCTTAAACTTTCACCCCTTCGCCATTTTTCTGAAACAAAATTTGAATCAACTATCTGCAAACTGAAATAATAAAAATAATATGCCACTTCACTCCTCTATTCATTGGCACTAACATTCTGCAAAAATTTAGGATAAAGAGGAAGTTATATTTTATTCTTTCTTCTTTTTCCTCTTTATTTCTGACTCAATTCATCTCCTTTTCTTCCTCTTCTTCTTCTCCTTCAAGTACCTTCAGGTCTTCCCATCAACTCCCAACTGCCATTACAGCTGGCAGTCTACCATCTCACAAGCCAACTAAACAGCTCATATTTTCTTCTATTCTTGTTTCATTTGTAAATATGTTTTCTTTTGGTTTCCTCCTCGTGTTTCTATGATCTCTTTTTGTTCTGCTGCTGCTACTTCTCTTTTTTCTCCTCTTCCTCTTTCCTCATCGTCTAGCTTTATTATCCCATTATGTCATCCCACTCAGACAACTTCAATTTAGCTCCCACTGTCCAACTTCCAATCAACATTGCAGCTTAAAAGTCCCACGCCGAACCATAATAGTGTTTTGTTAATCTCCCTCCTTTTTTGTCCTCGTCTTTGTCAAATTTCTACCCCAAACACACATTTGATGGGTGCCAATTGGGGCGAGGGAGGAGAAAAGTAAACGACAAAGATAAAAAAAATAAAATGCTAGAATGAAGAAATAGAAACAATAGAAGGAAACGAAACACACTGAGTGTTAAATTGGTATTTTACCTTAGTTAAAATGATGTCATTTGAAAAATAACAAAAGTGTGAAGCTTGAGAGTGGACACCCAAGACGCCACAAATTAGAGTCACCAAGCTAAAGTTTGAAGGCTGTTTTTCACTTCATTATTCTTAACTCAACTTCATTCGCTAAATATTCTTACATGTCGAAGTTACTTTGGCACATAGAATTTATGAGCTACGTCCCTTGAATACAACGTCGTCTTCCTAAGCCGAGGGTCTATCGGAAACAGCTCCTCTACCCCCATCGCGGTAGATGTAATAGGTCTGCGTACACACTACCCTCCCCGGATCCCACTTGTGGGACTATACTAGGTCGTTGTTGTTGTCCCTTGAATACAACCAAGTTGGTTTAGAACATCAGATGTAACATTGTAGAAAATCACATTTCATCAAAAATCACCTATGCTCACTTTTTCACCATTAATACATATTGAAACAAAAAATTTCTAGCTCCCCTGCACCTTTATCTAGAGTAAACGTTATCACCTCAGCTTGTACTACCGTCAGAACTTGCAAGAGCGGTTAGGAAGTGGCAGCTCCCTAACATTTCATGTTTATACTTTTCACCTTTCAAATTTCTAAAGCATTTAAGTTATACATTGACACTATCAATAATTTCAGTACATAAATCATATATTCATTTCTAAAAGATTTGGATATTCATAGTCGTTCATTTTAAGCATAAATCAACTAGTAACCTGATAAATAAACTAAAATTGCAAAATACCAAATGAAGAGAGAGAGAGAAAGAGAGAGTGCTTACAAGTCAATTACGCCGGAGAAATCACTGCCGATGAAAAAGGGGCAGCAAGTAGTATCAACTTCGCCAGAGAAGACGAGCGAAATTTGACACTTCAAGAAACTTGATAGGGTAAGGCAAGTGAAGCTCTTGCCTTAGCCCCCAATATTTAACGCCCAAAAAATATAAAGTAGTACTATATCAGTATATAATATATGTAATTTATATTTATACAATTTATAATAAAATATTTTAAATTTTAATATTTTATTAAAATGAGGTAAGATTGAATGAGTTAATAAAATAAGAGGGTGTTTGACTAAGCTTATAAGCTGTTCAAACTAGCTTACAAGCACTTTTCGGCTTATCTACGCATTTAGTAAAGTTAAAAGTGCTTATAAGCCAAGTGATTATAAGTCAAAAATAAGTCAAAAGCCATAAGATGGTCACCTCCAGCTTATTAATTTTTAGCTTATAAGCACTTTAAGTTTGACTAAGATTTTTACTATTTTATCCTTAAAATATTTTTTTAGAACAAAACTCTTACATCGATATTCACTGCCTCAAGTATTGTTTCAAGCTCTAAGGTTATTTAAGTCATTTTAACAGAAAAAGAGCTTATCAGCACTTTTTTATCAAATACTGCAACAACTTATTATCAATTTCAACTTGCATCCAAACGCGTAACTGCTTATTTATTAAATCAGTTTCACCACTTAAAAGTGTTTTCAACACCTAATGCTTATAAGCTACTTCAAATCAACTAATCCAAACAGGCTCTAAAACTTTTCTCTCACTAAATTAAATGATATATTTATCTTCTCATCAATTCTATTTTTTTTTCTTTCTTTTTTTATATTTTTTACTATTTTGCTTTCTAATTTCAACTCAAATTCTCTAAATTAGCTCTCGAGACAAGTGTCGTAAGGTTCAAAACACGTTGGATAATAGGCTCAACCCTTTTACCATTTTTACATGATGTTATATTTTGTATAGGGGAGAGTCCAACACTATGTATTGTGCGCCTAGCTAACACATTATACGTTGCTCTTTCACCACTAGATCAAAGCCATATAGACTTCTTTTTTTTGGCAATATTATATAGATTTTATGAAAGAAATTTCAGGGAATTTTTATATATTTTAGTTTTAAACCACCAATTCTATTGAGCCGTCCTGATTAATGATTAACATATATTTATAGATCATTTTCCCATGAACGTGTTGTTCAACCAGCTTCATTCACATTTGGTAACTAAAATAACACATTCACTGATTGTTGCCTTATCTTAATTGAAACTCTATAGAATTTGATTGAGAATGTCAGGGGTGGACATGTGTCTCAAGTAGGAAACTAGTAAAGTTTTGATTTAGGTCCCCAAAAATTTTTAGTAATGAATTTTATGATTTTAAGTTAGACAATATTAAAGACGGCATATAAAAAGAAGTATAAAAAACCTTGGACAAAAGAAAGAAAGAAAATTGTCTACTCTTTAACACTAAAAAATATTTTAGAACTTTGAATTAAATAATTTAAATCTTCATATTAGTAAATATATATTTTTACAACACTATCAAAGGTACAATATTTAGATACAAGTCTAATATCTTATTTATTAAATTACTTCTTACTAATATAATAATAATAATAATAATAGTTAAACGTTTTATCATTTAAAAATGTGATACTATAAATAATAAGTATGAGAAAAATGGCAACACTGACTTTTTTCTGCATATGTGTGTATATATACTAATAAAAAAAGTATAAGGTCTCTTAATAAAATTTAGCTTTAGGCCACTAATTTTATGGAGCCGTCCTTGACTTGAGGTCCTTATCTGCAAAAAATAGACTCGAAACCACCTATTCACCAGGAGGATTTAAATATTTAAGACACTTCAAAACTTATATAAGTTTTTAAGACAAAATTGTTAAGAATGGAGTAGAAGGGACACTTCAAAACCCCCAAAGTTTTCTTATTTACAAAACGTCCCCTTACTCCTCCACCCCGATGGATGTTTGAAACATCTTCGGGATGTTTGAAACATCACGGGAGATGTTCAAAATTACTCACAACTTTTATTATTTTTAATTTGACCCCCGAACTCCTTTTGTTTAATATTCTTCCACAAGACTTGAGAAGTCTTTTTTACCTCTTTTTTCCTATTCACCGTTGAATATAATTTTCGGCGCCAGTGAGAGAGTATACTCTCAGTATTTTCAATCTCACACACTCAATTAGTAGTGCAGTTTTTATATTCGAATAAGAGAGGGACTATAACTCAATGGTCATTTCCGCAAGAAGATTCTTTTTATCCCCTCAAAAGAAAAAAACAATATCTCTTATTGTATTTATTTATTTATTAGGCTTTTTATTTATAATACCTATTTTGAGCCACAATTTATTCGAATTCGCATAGAAAAATCTCATGAGGTATAGTGCTTCTTGCCAAAGGTCCTCTATTATTATAGTTTAAACCCGAAACCTCTGGATACTTACCGCCCATCATAATTGTACAATATCTTTTATGTGCTCCATTTTTTTGAAAGAAAAAATGGTCTAATTTACTTCTTGATTGCTCATTTAAATTAATTTTAAAATTAACAAAATAATAAGTAAACTCACTAGTTATGACACTTTTTCTTCTCGAAAATGACCAATAAAAAAACCAATATACTTCATTTTATTTTAATCTCAAGTTGGCAAAATTTGAATTTATCATAATTAGATTAGCTTCTTCTTTTTTTTCAAGAAAGGGGTGTGTTGGTGTAACTACTAAAGTTGTTGATTCGAGATATGAAAACAGCCTCTGGCAGAAATTTAGGGTAAGACTACATATAATAGATCCTTGTGGCCTTTCGTTGAACTCCGTGCATAGCGGAAGCTTAGTGCACCGGACTATCCATTAAAAAGCACATGCTTAACAATGATTTGATAGTTCTAGAGATTTAATGAATCTTCCTTCTGATTGATGTTAGAGGAATTCTTTTTTTTTTATTCCTCTGTTTAAAGTTAAAAATATTTAAAATATAAAAATTACAACGCGTGATTGGGACTTATGTTTCCACAATGCTCTCATTAAGCAACTGGTTTGATAGACCAAAATCTATAACAAAATTGATAAGACCAGCCTGAAAGGGTCCTATAAAACAAAATCTTTGAAAAATAAAAGAACATAACACAGAAACCACAAGATTCTCATTATTTCCTGTAGATAGGGCCATATAGGTAAGTGCGAACAAAAAAAACACATTGCCAGTGTTAGAATTCTGGTTGTTACAAAGAACTCTCTGATGTGTAGTGAAGTTTTAAATTTATCATACTTTCATCAAATTTATTTTGACTAAAGAACTTACCCCAACTCTTATCACAATAATGTAGCAGTAACCCTAAAGAGTCTGAAGCATAAAGAATATCAATGTCTTCTACAATTCTCAGCTCTTGATACCATCGTTAACACGTCCGAAACTAGGGGTGGCAATTTGAGCCCAAACCATTTAAGCTGTTCAACCAGCTCAAGGTTGGGCCGGTCCCATTTGACACCCCTACCCAGAACCAAGAACCACAAACATTCTTAATCTGATCAAACATGCTCCCTTTGCTATAAAAGAACATCAAGAACTTTGTAACTCCAACCTCTTTAGACTTTGTTACAGATGCTCAACTCAAGCTTGTACGATATGTTTTATCAATTTAAGCCACACTGAGAAGTGTCTTCTCTACACTGTCTAACGTGCCTCTTCGACGCCCTTGCTATAGAAGAGGAAAAGGGAATAGTCTATTTGATGTTGTGCGTAGGAACACTCAAATAAAATTTGGTGTTCTTGAAGTCATCCAGGAGAGGGTTATATCCATCTTTAGTTCTCGTCTTTGTTGGGAGACCAAATTCTTCCATGAATGCTGCTGTATCGAGCTATAACAAACGTTTACATGAATGAATGTAAACCAATGAGAAATAGAGGAGAACTTTGGTTTCTCACAGCTGAAGAGCAGGAATTACCGAAAGAGTACGTCTTTTCTTTCCCCGCTTCAATGACGTGTCATCTTTTTGCTGCTTCATCCACCCAGAGCAGTAATGATCCATCTGTTCCAAGAGCAAAAAATCTGTTGGAAAGAATATGTCGGCGTCCCCCTGCAAATAAAAAAATATAAAACATTGCAGCCAAGTACAGATGTTATAACACAATAGACATTCAAAGTTTCGCATGTTCAGGAGCATAATGATTGAAACATCGAGTGAATACACCAGTCCTACATAAGTTAATTAAAAGATTATTAAGATAACAAGTACGTGCAGCAGTGGCTTAGGGCGTGTTTGCTATGAAGGGAAGTGTTTTCCACTCACATTTTCCTGGAAAATAAATGGTTTCTTACTTACTTTCCGGTGTTTGGTAAGTATGTAGAAAATATTGCCCCAAGAGCATTTATATACAATCTAGGCTGAAATAATAAAAAAAACACAGTACTCTGTCTCTCTCTCTCCTGGAGTGGAAGTCCAACATACAAATACCTCTTATAAACAACATTTCATGATAAAATCCTGGGAGGAATACAGAAGATAAGGATCAGATCACCTTTGCATCCAAATAACTGTTGTAATCAGAGCTGCTACCATCTTTCTGCATTCATTTAATATCAAAAAGGCAAATGAATTTATAAGAATTATGTTAACTTGTTATCATAAAAAAGCCTAAAAGGAGAAAATACATAAAGCAAGCTCTTGCCATTTAAGATGACAGAGGATTATATTATTCCATGTGACATTTTGCAAGAAAAGGGTAAGTGCCAAAAAATAAATCAAGTGGAGATGCACATAAATGAAAAACATTGCAATCAACACTCACATTGGTTCTTCTGATACCAATCTTTTCCTTTTCAATCCCGATACTCAACAGATAAATTTGTAACCTACATGCTTTCAGAAGGTCTGAAGAATAGTGAAACAGTTCTAACACAACAACCACCACCCAACCAAACTTGCCTTGCGACTCACTAATTTAACCACTAGACACTCAAAAATGTAGGAGCATGACTTTTTTGTCAGTTTTAAGGTTTTAAAGAATATCCAGGTTCTGCAAAAGGATATTTATAGACCGGACCAGCTAGTCGATTTAAATTTAATGATAAAACCAAGTTGCTCCGGGGCTTTGGTCTAATGGTAAGAGCATAGCTT